ATTTTTGAAATAGAAAGTTTTGTAGAGCTCAACGAGCTCTATCGAACCGTATGAAAAAATTAGAAAAAAAAATTTTACTCGATTTTTGCATTACTGGCACCTTACTTCTAGCCAGATTCATCAAGCTGTGATTGGTTTCCACATGTAACCGATCTCACCATTGAAATTGATGGACTAAATTTGCCAGACACATTTAATCTTCTTCCAAAATCGATTGATCCATCACATCTGATCAAACTTTCTCTTCCTATTCTTTGTTATGCGCGTTCGATTCGAAACACAATAACAAATGTTGTTAATTTGCTTGAACAGACATGCAACGTTCGTTCGCTTTCCATTTTCTATCGGCGGTCTCGCAAGTGTCCAATGGCAGATGTTCACCGAATCTATGCGATTCTGCCTCGATATATAACACATCTGACAATCGAAATTCTGAGTGTCGATGATATGCAAGCTATTTTTGATCGACTCGAATACTTGGCAAGCTTAACATTCGTGTTGCCCCTTTACACTAAGCTGTATACTACAAATATCGAATGGCTGAGAGATAATGTGAATGATTTCACCCATGTAATAGATGGAAATCGCATTTATGTGTGGTTAGGCAACTACATAAAGAAACGGAAAGAAATCAAAGTTGGTTCAAAACGTATCAAGTTATTTCACAATTCATAGTCTACCATTTGGAATATGACTCATTAAAAATATGTTTGGTTCGAAAGAAATACTATTCTCTCAACTTGCTTTCATAAACTAGTAAAATATGACTATAAAAAGTACTCCACAAATACACTTTGATACATTTATATTAAATCCGTCTTTTACGAAGCTGATATGATAGCAGAATGATTGTTTATGAACATAACAAAGAGAAGAAATAATTTAATCATATACTGCCTATCTTAATTATTCAGAACGAATCAAGTTTAGTACTATAATTAACATACACGTATTATTTTTTCATAATAATTCTTCTCATTTATCAACAAATTTGTTTTTATAATAAGATCTTTCGTTTATGAAGAATGAATACTCTTTAGACAATCGTTTGTTTAACTTAATTTAATGTCTTAAATTGAATGTAAAAATTTAAAGATTCCTATTTAATTCTATACATAAACCAGTCTCCAATAGTAAGAGATTCAAACCAAAATCGTATGAAAGAATAAGTGAATAAATAAATATTTTTTATCATATGCAACTAAGATAGAACATTTTTATTTTGTTCCTTTGGCTGTTATCTTGCCTAAAATCTTCAATTAAGAACAAAAAGTAAATGGGAACGAGACACAAATTGTAACATGCATGTGCTTCAATGCCTTGGAACTTTTGCCAATTAATAGTGAGGTTTTAAATAACATGCTGGAAAAAACATAGACTATAGTGAAAAACTAGAATTATCGAAGTTATGAATGATTTTCAATCAAAATCTATCTAATAGATGCGATGTGAGTAAAGATGGGTGTGTAAGTGGATGTAGGTGTGGGCGAAGAAATGAGGAAACCCACACCACACCCACATTATCTATTAAATCGATAACTATAACGGATATTAGAAAGAAAAAACGATCCACTTTTATTTATATTAGAATACATTCGATTTTCATTTTATACTAAATGACTTGTCACAGGTATGTGGCGACCGTGGGGTGTACATCCCCACTTTTAAAAAATTTTCCTTTGTTTTTCAGCTGAAATCGTAGTTTTTATTAAAAAAAGATCTCAAAAAGAAAAAAAGGTTCAGATCGAGCTTTTTCATTGTCGTTCTATCTTATGTTAAATACGGACATGATATGCGTCTAATGAATGATGAATTGGAACTGATTCTTTTGTATAAAATTATTTTTTTGCGTCTAATAACAGATCATCTTCTCTCATTTTTAATGATTAAGCGAACTAGATCGCAGCCATTTGCAACATTCGTTGATTCGAAAGTTGCCTCAATAAATTCGATTATCAATTTTACATTTGTTCATCAAAACTTATACTGTTAAAGAGATGCTACAAGTAAACATCAGTGAAAGTACAAGTTGTTTAAAAAGCTTGAACTTCTCTGTGACATTAATTGCTCTACTGAAAGCCATCATTTCATTCTTAACTAAATAATTATATAGCTACTGGCGCTCTGGTACATGACATTGCTGTCTACTTGATCCTTTCGTTACTTTATTCTTTTCCTTCGTCAAAAACAACAGACATATTTGATGACATGTAGTATGACACAAACGATAACAAAAAAGATATAAACGATAAACAAAAATTTGATAATATCATATTTTCTCAGCTACGATATCTCACATTAGTATAATGGAAAATTGAAAAGCTGTAAATAAAATGTCTGTTAACTTTTAATTCGCTACGATGCAGATCTAACGAGACAAAAGTTATGCATTATACAAAATCTTTGTGCCCTTTTCGAATATACTCTCAAAAATTTGACCATTTAAAGGTTATTATACTACACGTGAGCAAATCTGCGACCATATTTTTGAGACTATATTCGAAAAGAGCACAAAGATTTATTCTAGTGCATAACTTTTGACATAAAATTCACGAAAGTCATGAAATCTTTTTTATTTTTCAAATCACTGGGCAGCGAATCAAAAGTGAACACACATTTTATTTAAACACTTTTCTATCACTCTTTGTCATACATACGTCAGTGTTTATCGTTATTTTTAAATGTTAAATTCTTCTTCAAGATTTGGTTTAAGATTATTTTTCATTAATACACCTGCTTTATTGCAGTCAATAGTAAGTGTATAATATTTCAAGATGTCCAACCCGAGTACGCACAAACTTCCTTGATTAATACACGCCATAATATTGTATATGTGTTCATCAATAACGATTTGAATTTTAGTTAAGTTTTGTCGTCTTATTCCAGCACCTGTTTCTATATCAATAGCAGTTCCACCAATAGGAAGTGGATTCAAAACTTCTGGTATAGAAGAAATTGTCACTCCTATGCCTATTAAAAATCGACAATGAATTTGATTTTCGATTGGGTTTTGATTCCAAAATCTGAGCTTCAATTCAGGAGTCATCAAACCATGACCACGGTTAATACAATGTAAATGTTGAATGAAATATTGATCATCCCGAACTAACAACAGATTAGCAACTTGAAATTCGTCTGTTTCATTTGTTTTATGATCAGGAATCCTGGACACCAAGTTAGGGTGTCGGTGTGGGTGTGGGTCTGGGTGTGGGTGTGGGTGTGGGTGTGGGTGGGTGTGGGTGTGGGTGGGTGTGGGTGTGGGGGTGGGTGTGGGTGGGGGTGTGGGTGTGGTGGTCGC